AAATTGGTCTAGTAGATCATGAGATATAAGTATTTTTATCTTTGCGATTATATGCTTTTTTCTTTATTCAAAACTTTAAACATGTTCATGAACTTTGAACCTAGGTTCAATAGGAACACTAAGAATATCTGTATATAGTCATTAATATGAATAGTGCTTGCTATTGCTTTTTCTTTCTTATACCCAAGCTTATTGTTAGAAATTAACAAATAGATTAATACAGTATTTATACAAAAAGTTTCTGCAAACAATTTGCATCTTCTGAACATATTCTGGTATTTTTAAGATATAATTTTTTTTAGATTACTATTGGTATTAGTAAGAATATAATCACTAAAAATATTCAAAAAAGTTAGTGTTTGGTTTATATAAAGAATATTTACAAATTTTCTTTCTTTTTCAAATCCAAGTTTGCAATTATTTTAGATTTTTAAAAAAGTCAAAGTTGTATTTGCAACCAGAGCCCTTAATTAGAAAAATTAAATAAATGCAAATTTGCAAAATCTGTATGTTTGCAGATTTTTGAAGAATTGTTATAAAAAATCTACAAAATTTTTTAGAATTTGAAGTTTTGCACAAAATTGTATCTAATTACTGCATTTATAATATCAAATTTGAAGTTTTACACATGACTTTCATTTGATTTATTATTTAACTTTTTTGCAAATTTGACAGAATTGCAATAGAAAAAATTTCCTAATGTTGCTAGTACTCTCCTTCAAGTTAAATACCTGAAAGATGCAAGGATCTTAATTTGTAATTATTAGTAAGAGTTTCTGCTAATTATTATCTATCTTTCAAGCCCAAATTATTATTAGAGAGGTTTAAATATTCTAAAGTGATATTTCTATTATTAAGAACTTTAAAAAAATTTACTACTTTCAACAGTAAGATTATTATTTAAATATTTAACAAGATTAGAGTATTGTTTGTACTAAGAGCATTTGTAATCTCTTTTCTTTTTCATCTTCAAGTTGATTATTCAAAAGGTATAATGATTTTAAAGTAAAATTTTCTCTAAGAGTTTTAGCTAATATCTTTTTTCTTTGGAATTAAAGTAATTGTTTACAATCTTTAAGGAAATTAAAATGCTATTTTAACAAAGAGTATCAGAAAGCAAACTTCTTAATTCATATTTATAGCTATAATTATATTGTACTCCATCCAGATCTAAATATTTTAATCTACCATGAATTCTCCATGACATGGTGATCTGCGACAGTTCACCTTTTTAAAAACAGCTATAACTTCAATAGATATCGCTATTTTATATAAAGATATTAATTGACTCAACTGGCTTATATATATTATAATAAAAACCGATTTATTAATAAAGCAATTAACATCTTAAATAAATTAAAACAAAAATACTATATCTCTAAATATCATATGCAAAATTTTAACAAATCAAAATTTGCAAATATAAATCATATATATTTGAATATCAATTTCAAATGTTCGCCTATAATTTATAAATTTATAAATTTATATATATCCTTAGCCTAAGAAAATAACAGCATAGAAATATCATTCAGCATTTTGATCTTAATCTAATTACGTACCTATGTAATGAACGAGCACCTTGCTTTCGAGCCAATTTGGCAGTTGTAAAGATTTCGATCTCTTATGATGATATATCAGCAATTCTCGTAATTTGATATCATCGTAGCTATTAAAGAATATCGCCTTCGTGGATACCATGAATTTCAGTATCGCTATCGTAGGATAATCCACCATCGGAGGGATTTGAATATTGATCAGCCGTGCATGAGACATATTCAGAGTTCTTATGAGGTGTATTGTTGAGATCTGTTACATCTAATATTAAAAATAATATGAAATTAGTGTGAAATTAATAGATTCAATTATTTAATCAATTTGAAAAAAAATTTCACCTAAAGGAGACTTTAATTGTAGTGCGCTTGTTCGTGTAGCCATTTTTGGATATGTTTTACGCTTTAGGATTGCTAAACAGAAAACCTTGTTATATTTAAAAAATATAGTGTTGTTAGATGGCTTTTACTGATTTTTGTTAGTGAAACGTTACATTCTCAAAAAGTACTTTTAAGTTGTATAAATAATTGATTTACATCAGCCAATCTGTCTATGAACAGGCAAGTCTATTATCAACCAATCAAAATCGTCAAAGTAAGCAAATAAAAATAAACCCACCTATACTATTTTATTATAAACCAACCCTAAAATCCTAGTCAAAAAGCCTAAAAAAAAATTCAAAATCGTCACGATCATCCGATTTCATCCATGACACATCATATTTACGTTCAAGAAAGTTTATGTATTAAAAATTTTAATCTATTCTTCCTCCCATTTTATTAATTGATTTGGAGCGTAGCGGAGGATCCTTAATTTCTCTGTATTTAATGATACAAAAATTACGTTTTTGACGCACTTCTCTCCCAACACTATGAAGATCATATCAGAAAACTTTTTATCTGCATATTCACGCGTTTGTGTAATGAGATTATTATATGATCTACGTAACAATGCATCTTCCCCATGCCATGCCCGATTTAGATATTGATAAATTATTACAAATATAGTCATGGGATCTCCTACCAAATAATTGAATTATGAATGTCCACACATTTTTTGTGACGGGCTTCCACACATTGACAAAATTGTGATGTTAGCTAAATAAGCTGTCTTGCAAACTTTATATGGTATTATAATGCGTGAATTATTAGTATTTATAAAAGTAAAGAGTGGTTTTAGGATAACAGATAATGTCTAACGTTTGCCCACATATACTACATAATAGGTCAAAAATCATGTATATAGTTTTGATACAGGTTAAACCATTTATATGTATCTTCAAGATAGTTACACATAGTAAATTATACTCTTCGGTTTCAATTCCGTATCGACCATACTTTTTCACCAATATGGAAAGACCACTTGTTTACTATTCTGAAATTTATCAGCGTAATACTTTAATTGAGTGCTTTAGACAAGTATTTACATTTCATACTAAAATTTATACTTTTTTCAATGTATAAATATAAAAGCCATATTTGTCGCTTAAATTCCATAATTCAAAGAAGGAACTTGACCCAAATTTGCAATGTTTTCTTGAATTTTTTTATTTCATGGGAATTAGTACAGAAAAAAACCGCATATAAGTTATTAAAGGATGCAGCAAAAAGTAATGTAATAGCAATTTCTATCTTGGCGAATGTTTTGGGTGTGGGTATGGTGTCGAAAAAATCCAGAAAAAGCTATAAGATTATATAAAAAATCAAAACATGAATGTACAAGATCAATAGATACTTTAGGGATCTATTATTTGAATAAGTAGTTGCCAAAAATGACGAACACGAAGCCATCAAATATTTTAAAATTTCGTATGAAATGGGATGCATGTCTGCGCGTAATAATTTAGGCACATTTCATTATAAAAGTACTGTATTTAAATATTATAAAGAATCCACAAAACATGACATTCTACTTGGGCAATATAACTTTGCAACACTAAATAAAAATGAAACTAGAACAACGAGAAATTCAAAATTAGCAAAATTTGGTATCAAAAAAGCAATGGAAAACGGGAATGAAGAAGCCGCAAAAATATTAAATGTGTTGTCAAGGTCAAACAGGCTAGTTAAAAAGAGAGCTCACCATACGGGATATGCTCCAAATATCATAAAGAGAGATATTATGGAAATTGCGAAGCAAAGCAAAGCAAGCCTGAAAATAATCTGTGCCAAAGACTAATTAATTTATTTCTAATAGAAACAAAACTATTGATGAATTTATTAGATATACTCGGGTCTCTGAACACGCACTCCGTAAGAAACTACATATGATCACCTCACCAATATCAAGTACATTGAAATATATGAAGCAACATTGTTAAATGGGTGTGGACGTCTTGGTAAAAAATGCGAATTATCTGTGGATCTGAAAAACATTAACGCATACAAATATCGACACTGAATTCTTAAAAGAGGTAATTATTTAATTTATAAACAAATCTGGACGTGTCAACAAATTTGAATTTTTATCTAATAATAACTTTAGTTAAAAACACACCACAAATGTTCATCGAGGCTGGATTTGCTTCAACCGTATGACATCACTCGAAATCCTGAAGTGAATTATAGGAATATGTTTTTACTGGGAGTCTGCATCAATTTTTAATGAACAAGGTGGTTTCGAAAAATTTATTGATAGCGTAGGAAGAATTGCTCGTGGACTTGCAAAATTACATAAATTTGGGCTGGTTCACCGTGACCTTCACAGTGGAAATATTTTGCTACTTTCTGCTTCGTATGTGTCAGTGATTGATTTCGGATTATGTCTTCCCACAAACGAGCCACTAAGCGAAATAAACGATGTAATGCTGTATATCGCATATGAAATGCTGCTAGGTAAATCATATACAAAAAGTTCCGATATATACAGCATTGGGATGTTAATGTGGGAACATGCAACTAGAATGTTGCCTTTTTATGACCGCGCACATGATACCTCTCTCGCAATTGATATTGTGAAGGTCTTCGTCCTGAAGCTGCAGACTACATGCCACAGTATTATGCTAACTTGATGAAATAATATTGGTATTCAGATTCCTTGAAATGTCCTATTGCAGATCAACTGGTAGAAATAATTTCTAGTTGGAAAATTATTCAGAAAGGCATATCTAACTACTGCTTTGAAGCATTCCATGATGAATGGAATTCTGTATTCAAAGAATCTGATCGTAAAATGTTAGATGCCATGAAGAAATTAGATATAAAAAAAAAATCATACCATCCGGATGCAGTCTATACAAGCAGATCCTTAAGCTCTAACCCGAAATCTACATATGGAATTTAATACTCCAAATTCTGTTTACGGACAGTATTATTTGCATGTTTTTTTAACCTTAATTCTGGGAACTCTTTGCAAACTATTTCACAAACCAATCAATCTTAATTTCTGGAAAAATAGTGAGTTATTTTTATTGATTAAATTCACAAAAATCATTTATTTCTATTGTAACTATTAAATATTAGGGTAGACTTTCTTTGAAATACCATTTCGGTATGCAATTTTTTTATTTACGGGAATTTACATCTGAAAGAAAACTCAAAATTCTTCAATCATATACAAGTTATAAATCAACCTCAAGATACTTTTGGAAGAGACATGCTATTTTACAAGACTTCGACTATCTTAACGACTCGAAAATAAATTCTAAAAACAATACTGTACATTTGATTCTAGAATTTCTTGCAACCCGGAAAACGAAGATTGAATAATTTACAGATTTACTATTCCAAGCTTGAGTTGGTTTGTATCAGAATTATTGTGATTTATATTGTAAGTTATAAAAAAATTTAATTGCTATCCCAGTTATCACAGTATGTGGTTGAGTTGGTTTGCATCAGAATTATTATAACTTCTACTGGGAAAATTCTGCCACAGAACTTATTCGTCATTCTGATAACACAGTATAAGTTAAATCAAGTTTGCATTGGAATTATCATAATGTATTTATAGTTGTGTTAGTTTTATTTTATTTTTATTATGACTTAATTTACTGTAAAAAAATTCCGTTAAAGAATTTACTATTCTGATAACCATAGTGTTGTATCAGAATTATATGATTTTTTTGTAGTTAAGTTAGTTTGTATTGAAAACATTGTGTTTTCTATTTGGAGTTATTATAGTTATTGCAAAAAAATTAAGAGCTACTTGCTATTCTGGTAACCACAGTACTGTATATAAGGTTGTGCTAATTTGAATCAGAATTATCATGATTATTACCATAGAAAAAACTTTTACAGAACTTTTCCACTGTGCACAATATGTGAATGAAATTAATTAAGTTGTATAAGAATTATCATAAGTTCTATTTATGATAATTAAAGTTGAGTGAGTTAGTTTGTATTGAAATTATCATGATATCTATTGAAAAAAATTCTGTTATAGAGCTTACTTGCTATTACCATAACATGGTTAAAATTGAGTTAGTCTGCATTGGAATTATCATGATTTCTATGTAGTTGAGTTAGTTAGTATGTGATTTTTATCATGTTGATACTGTAAAAAAAAATACAAAACTTATAATTAAAATTGTTATTTTATATTAGAAAAAACACATGATCACAGATGGTTTTTATTTTAACATATATAATAAAAATTATTTGATCCCCAGGTTAAAATCGAAAAAAAATTATCTAATAACAAATTGTTAATTTGACTTTATATTCTTACTGAAACATTTTTCAAGTTCTCACTGTTCACAAAAACTTTTTAATACTCTCGATATAGAAAAATTAAATTTGTATAATATATCAAAAAAATTCTTTTAACATTCTCAGATAGAGAACATATTTTAATAAATTATGGTTTAAAAATTTGAATTAGTATTCTCAGAGAACAGACTGATCATCGTACAGATTTACAGACAGATCTCTTTATAGTAAACTCTAACTAACTACATGATAGCAAATTCTCGTGTTTATCTACTAATTATTGCAGTAACACATAGTATGTATTGGAATTGTAGGCACGATATCTATTATAACTTATAATAAAAGGTTTTATTACAAAAATTACAAATTATTATGGTTATACACAGTATGTGGATATAGATAAGTTGGTTTGTGTTGGAATTACAGTTGTAAATTCTATCATGATTTATAAAAAAAATTTTATGAAACTTGCCATCATGATGTTGGAATCCTACAATATTATGATATTATATGGTTAAAATTTAGTTAGTTTGTATTGGAATTACAGTTATGAATTTTATCAAAATTACTTACAGAACTTACCATTGCGATGATACACAATACAACAATATGTGGTTGAGTCAGAATTAATAGTAAAATTAAAATATTTTGTTACAAGACTTTCTATTGTGGTAATACACAATATGCGATTAAAGTTGAGTTAGTTTGTATTGGAATTGGCAGTCATAATTTCTATAAGATTACTTTAATTTGTATTAGAATCTAATAGTCGTGATTTCTTGATTACTGTAAGAATTGTTACAAGACCGACTAGCTGTAGCAACACACAATTCATGATTTAGTAAGTTTGTATTGGCAAAAACAGATGATTTTGTTACAAAACTTATAGCTGTAGTTATACACTGTATGTGGTTAATGTCGTGTTTGTAATGGAATTAAAGGCATGATTTTTATCATGGTTTACTGTAAAAATTTTATTACAAAACTTGTGCCATTGTATGTAAGTCAGTTTGTATTGAAATTAATAGTCATGATTTCAATCGTAATTTACTATAAAAATTTTGTTACAATAATAATAGTCATGATTTCTATCATAATTTACTATAAAATTTTGTTACAAAAATTACTCGCTATTGTGCTAATTATTTTGCTACTTTTTTTCCATAAATTTACAGAATTACCCAATAGGGCCGGTAGGGAAAAAAAACCGATTCTATGTTATATAAAACGGTAAATTAACTTTGCACGGCCTTAGATACGAACATGAACCACATTAGATTAATCATTTTACAGTAGATTAATTATTTTACAGTAGATTAACTATATTTTACAGTAGATTAAATATTTTACCGTAGATTAACTATTTTACAGTAGATCAACTATTTTACAGTAGATTAACTATTTTACAGTAGATTAATAAAAAAAAAAATCGACCTACTGATCAGAATTTAGATAACCAGATTATGCAAAACGAAAAATCAACTTGTGTGGTCTTACAGTAAATCAAATATAAATTACATAATTTCAATACAAACTAACTCATGATATATAATACAGTAAAGCTAGGGCTAATGTCAGGATGAAATTTATAAGAATTCATCTAAGAATGCACAACCTTTGTTACTATTTATGAATAGGCTTGTGTAAAATAATTCTTTATATAGTAATATTAAAGACATTTACAATTAGATCTTTTCCTTTTATGAAGAAATCTCGTTGACAAAAAAAAACGTTATTTTTAATTATATTATGTATAATAAATTATCGGTTAATAGACGCATATGGCTGCTAAAAATATCGATTATATCTAAATTTTTATTCGCAGCCTCACATAATAATGAGATATAACCTGAATTACAAAACCTTCAATCACGAATAAATATTGTCACGAGGTAAAATGTCATCATTTACAACCAAGTTTATAATTTATCTCTAAGGTAGATAATTTATCGTTATGAAGTTCTTCGGCCGATAAGAGGATGAACAACTATACAATAAGGTGAATTCTGTTTGCGCCTCATAAGTCCTTTAAGAAGGGGCACATAAGCTCACTAACTAGATAATAATTTCCCTTATATTATATGACCCAAATCACGCCTCTGGTGAGTTGCCTTATATCATAAAGTCTTAGTACATAAAAAAACAAGCATTCGAATCATCATTCGGCAGCATATGATGTGATGCTCGTTATGTGAAAAATAAACAGTATATGACAAATAGGGTCAGCGGGCCAATCAGATCTAAGATTTTGCGGTGTATAACCATATACTATGTGATAGTATACATAATTTTGATTTGCATACATACATAGTAAATCGAACATTGTCCCAAGATATGTCTTAGAAATTGTTAATGCGTAAAAGGTAATTTTATAGGCAAAATTTTGAGTTATCTGCAGTTTTTTATTTTTTTTTTTAAAAAAAACGTCGATCATTAGAAGAGATCTGGTTGGAGCTTATTTTACGATCTCAGGTTCAAAAGAGAAAAATTAATATTCTAAATTAACTAATCGCATAAAGATAGATGTTTAGGGTTGAAAAAAATTAAAATTTCTAAATTAACTAAGCGCATAAAGATAGATGTTTAGGGTTGGGATCTTGGTGTTAGCTATAGCATTATATGATGCTTAATTATGTAAGATTCGTTCCTATCATTTTTTAATTAGTACACCAATGTTGATTTAAACTTTAAAGATAAATGTTTAGGGTTGAGAAAAATTAAAATTTCTAAATTAACTAAGTGCATAAAGATAGATGTTTAGGGTTGGGATATTAGTGTTAGAGCCTATAGCATTATATTGATGCTTAATTATGTAAGATTCGTTCCTATCATTTTTTTAATTAGTACACCAAGGTTGATTTAAGCATTGGTTCAGTAATTTCGCTTTCTTTCTTTTTTCTTTCGCATGTGATAAGATTCTATGTCGGGTTGATCTGGAATTAAGACCCTAGCGTCACTAACTTAAAAAATTTTCTGTTGAATTAGGATTAGTATTTGATATTAATTTGGATTAGAAAGAATTTTAATAATACCAAAATTTCGTAAGGAAAACTTTTTGTTAGTGCACAGAAGGCAGTTTCTTAAGTAAAATGTTGAGTTATAGTCGGTTTTTTTGCGATTTTTTTCTTTGTTATACCCTGATCTTCTGATCTTTGTGTGGTTATCCGGAATAGGAATAGGCCATTTCCTATTATAGTAGTTTAATAACTCGCAAAAATGACTTTTCTGGGAGGATGACTTTTTCTGGGAGGATTTAAATAGGTGTTTAATGTAAATAATTCTCTTATCATCTCTTCTTGTCTTTATAAGAGTCGATTAAAAACCTATAATCTACACGAAAATATAATCCGATCAAAATGGTATTCCCACATGATATACTCTTTGAAATGTTTAACCACTTATATCATGATTATAGAACCCTATTTCGATGCCTTCTTGTTAATCGCGAGTGGTGTGAACTCGCAGTCAAAATCCTCTGGAGTAACCCAAATCTGGAGCATCTTAAAACAATTTATACATTATTATTAAATTTAAACGAACATGAAAGGGAAATGATCGGCCCCAGTGATATTATCCCTGAAGATGCTCCAGATTTAATGTTTGACTATAGAAGCTTCATCTTAACAGTGTCAAGCGACAAATTAGTTGAAGGTATTAATAATTGGCTTGAACACGTTGGAAAAAATAGAATCAATTCATCTTCCATAATAATTCCAATGTTATTAATGTTTTTAAGAGAAGGAAATAGGCTAAAATATTTATATTTGGATGGTGTCCAATATAATCGTAGCCATAAATGCGAATTGAAAGGTTTGCTTTCCGATGCTCTCTGTCATAATAATACCTTAATTTCCTTAAGTCTGGTAAACCATCACTTTGATTCAAGAGAAGGAATAGCATTAGCTGAAACTCTTGGAATAAATTCCAATTTAAAATGTTTATTTCTTTCGAATAACAAACTTGGAGATGAAGGAGGAATAGAGATTGCAAATGCTCTTAGCATAAATAATGCTCTGACCTCATTATATATTCTAAATAATAATCTTACTGTCGAAACTAGTAAATCTTTTTCTGCAGTTCTTAGTAACTTGAATACTAGCTTAGAATATTTAGATCTCTCTAATAATAATTTGGGCTCGGAAGGTGGACAGGCATTAGCAGAAGCTCTTACAATCAATTGCAATTTGAGATCCTTGCAACTTTCAGGAAATCAACTTGACTATGAAGGAGGGAAATCATTAGCAAGGGCTCTGATTGAAAATACGAATTTGACTTCCCTGAAAATTCGAAATAATAGAAATATTGGACCTGAAGGAGGAAGGGAATTGGCAAATGTTTTATATACGAATCAATCACTTACTTCATTGGACATTTCCGGTGATTTCATTCTAACCGAAGGAGCAATAGCATTATCCGATGCTCTTACCGGAAATTATTTTTTAACTACGTTGAACCTTCGTAAAAATAGAATCGAACTTAATGGAATAAAAGCATTAACGGAGGTCCTTAAAATAAATAACACTTTAACTATATTGGACCTTTCCGATAATAAAATTCCTTCTGAAGGGATTAAAGCATTAGCAGAAGCTCTTTACATAAACAACGGGTTAGAAAAATTGTATATTGAAAACACTGGAATGTGTTTGGAGGATGGGAAGTTATTTGCAGGAGCTCTTTGTATAAACGATACATTGACTTATCTGTCAATTTCCAACAATAAGCTTGGGCACGAGGGAGGAAAAGCAATAGCAAGTGCTCTTTATTTTAACGATTCCTTAATTCATTTAAACATTTCTTATAATAAGATAACAGATAGAATTGGAAATGCATTTGCAAATGCTCTTTTTAGTAACACGACATTGAGCTTCTTGGATATTTCCTCTAATAATATTTGTGCCGATACAATTATAAATGAATTAAGAAGAGCGTATGACACAAAAACGGTAATGAATATAATTGTATAGTGATTTTATTATAATTATGAATTAAGAAGAGCGTATATAATTGTATAGTGATTTTATTATAATTATGATAAAATTAATAAAAAATCTAGTTAGTGCTTTAATAATTTGAAAAACATCTATGAAAATTATTTATAAAAAAAGGGTTATGAATATATTTATAAAAGTTTTCTGCAAAGTGCGGTAAGTTATTTATTACGGTTTGTAAAGTTCTGTGTCCCCATTAAAAATTAAAAAATTACGAGTTTATTATATTCAAATATTGGATAGTGAAGTGGTGGGGAAAAAGTAAACCCGGTGATTACTGATTATTTCTGATTTCTTAAAGTGAAAAGAAGTGTTTTTTTTTTTGATAATATTTAATGAGGATGCAGAATTTTGTAAACCGTAATAAAAAAATATACCGATTTGAATCCTGATTCCTTATGTATTTTTTTTTATAGATAGATTAAGCTTTGATATTACATAAAATAGAATACGTATATACTTAAAAAGTGCATTATAAAGAGGTAGTAAAGTAGTACGGTATGAGAGTACAAATATGTATAGACGTACGTTGAAAAAAATGAATTTTTCTGTATTTTAATACGTAAGCGATGTCAAAAAAAAACCAAAATAACTAACATTGCTTTTAAACACCAGATTCAATCCTTGAAAAATGTTATAATTGAGTCGTTAAACTATAAATTTACAAAGTTCGTTTCCTAATTTTTCTTATTCGATATTTTTTTTATACAGTTTATTTGCAAGTGAATTCAAGCACATTTAATATTTATTGAAATTATTTATTATACGTAAGTGAATAATTTAAACTACGGTATATATAGTATATTATATGTCATTTTGATTTATTGTCAATTTTATCAATTAAAATAACTCAGAACAAGATTAATAACTTAGAGCAAGATCTAATGTAATAGATTACTGATAATATTAATACATATTTATTCATAACAATAATAAGGTAATGTTCAAGTTGTGAATTTTATTGCGGTTTGCAAAAAAATGTGAAATTTGCAGATCAAAAAAAAAAAAGTAATCGATGATTTCTGATTCTGATTG